GGGAGAGGGGGGTTGGGATAACGTTGCACAAGAACTGTGGTGGTTATTACAAGATAATTTGGTTTTATCAACTGAGGTGATAAAGTAAATTGGCAACGGTGAAGAGTTTCTAAAGCTATAAAACCAAATTTTTTGGAAGTGGGGATTTTTTTCTTAATTGCAATGTAAGTGGGGTGATTGTACTTCAATATTTGTACTTCAATATTTCCATCAATTTAAAGATGAGTATTGTTCTTTCCAGAATACAGAACTGTAAAGTAAACTTTAGTTGAGGGCTGAATGCTTCCAAATGAATAAACTGGAGAAGGCATTTGATGTCCACTGCTACAAGTTTTTATTTGCTAAATCCACCAAGGTTGAATTTATTTTGAAAGGGAAGAGTTGGTTTGTTTTGTTTTGTTTTTTTGTTTGTTTGTTTGTTTGTTTTTTTTACAAAGAGAATAAAACGGAGATTCTGGAGTAAAACCTTTCAAGTTAGAATAACAATGCACAACAAACTAAACTAGCAATATGATGCCAGGTCTAGAAGTTAAACCCAAGCCACATTAGTGAGGGACAAGCACTCTAACTTATAATTTGCATATTGTATTCCTCAGGCTTGTGTGTAAATTTGAATTTTGTCGCAGAAATTATTTTACTTTGATAATTTTTTTTTCTTGTAGGCATTGTGTGGCCTTCCAATCAACACTTACTTCAGTGCAGTGAAGTTAAAGTGGCTGATTGACAATGTTGAGGCAGTGAAAAAGGCTGTAGAAGAAGACAGGTGTCTGTTTGGTACTGTGGACTCATGGCTAATTTGGGTAATTCTTAGTTTCCATTATTGGAGGGTCCTGCTTTCAGTAGATGTGCTGTTATATAAGACTGTTTTTCTTTTATACTAATTGTTAATTATTGGTTTCCTCAGAACCTGACTGGTGGTAAAAAAGGGGGCTTGCACATCACTGACATCACAAATGCTTCGCGGACCATGCTTCTTAACCTTAAGACTCAAGCCTGGGATCCATACTTGTGCGAGTATGTTTGGTATTTTTCATCAAGGGGGGTTTTATTTATGAAACAGCAAGAATCTGTTGAGTTTTTTGAGTAGTAGAATTTGAAGAGAATTTATCTTGTTGTAAGGGTTTTGAGCACCTTTTAGTTTCTTTCTAACTTATTACATCATAATAACTGTTCTTTTCAGATTCTTCAGCATTCCAATGTCAGTTTTACCAACTGTGAAGAGTTCCTCAGAAATATATGGGAAACTTGTAAGACAAAGCAACATTAATTTGATTAAAACCCTGATTTAACAAACACATTTGAAGCAAATTTTAATCCAGTTTTGGAGAGGCTGATAATATGAAAGTCTTGATAATCTAAAAGCATGAAATGTGGTAAATTTTGTTGTATACTGTAGAGTCGTATAAGGTATTGTTGTATAAGGTAGAGTCGTAGAGTTAAAAATGTTTTACTTTCTTTAGCAAACTTTGCTCTAAGCGTATTAAGAGAATCGTTATAAGGTTGTTATTCTCTTATTTTCAGGTTGATGGTCCTCTCAGTGGAGTGCCTATATCAGGGGTATGTTCTGTATTATTTTGTACTTTATCCTCTCACTCTTAAGAGTGACCAAGAAGAAATTTCTCCTTACAATATCAGTACAATATCAAGCAGACAGGTGATGAGAATAAAGAAAAACACCAAGAAGGAGATATCGTATGATTCAACACTAAATTCTCAGCACTTAAATAGAAAAAAAAAGGTATAACAGAGGAAAAGGAGAATTAGTATTGAGATCTTGGGAGTGAAAGGGTAAAGGTAACTCAAATTGTTTGATAACAGTGCTCCCACTCATGCGAAGCGCACGTGGGGCAGAGCCCCATACCCATGGAATATGGTCAACCTCTTTTCGTTTGGTTGTCACACGACTGACCGAGCATACGTACATACGTCTGTACGTGCCTAAGGGAGGGGTGACTCAGGCGAGTCTTGGCAAATGCACATCTTTTATGTTATCATTAATATTATGCACTTGGGAGCTCCGCTTTTAGGCTTGGCTAAATCTATCTATTAAGTCATAATATACCACACTTTTTTGATAAAAAAAAAAGACAATTGTTTTTCAACAATTAAGACATTATTTTGTTAAAATATAGGATTACTAACAGCAAGTGGCCTCTTAGAGACAGACAAGATATGTCACAGCAACAGCTGACAAGAACAAGAACCAACAAGTTTATTTCGATAGTTTAGTCATAAAGAAACTGGGAGTCGTATGGCATGCAGGGAAACAGTGTCTGCAAACATGATTTATAAAGACCAAATAAAGGAGAATAGTTTTGATTTAATATTATTGTTTTTTTGATGATAGTGCCTTGGTGATCAGCAAGCAGCATTAGTTGGACAACTGTGCTTTAATCAGGGAGATGCCAAAAACACGTAAGTTGTCGAAAGTTGCTTCTCTGTCCTATCAAGGTGCCCGTGGTAGGGTAGGGTGAAGAGATGAAAGTAAAGTCTACACTTGAGTCAGGTGGCTCACATGCAGCCAAAGCTTGTCTAGGTTTCTGTAGCATGAAGCAATATGAAAGGGCAAGGCACGGCGAGAATAATGTGCCTTGCTTAATAACACAATTAACATGCCTTGTCTGTGACCTAGACCTCTAAACCCAAAGTCCCGCATGCCAACCATTGGGTAACTGCGACTTCCTTGGCATGGTTGAGGGAATCTTTCCTAGAACAACCTAGATGAAGGAGAGGACCAATGGCTGGGAGCTTAGGAGAACAGGGGAATGGGAGAGGAGAAGGTGGAAACCAGAAACTTTATGATTGTGGAAAGTGGGAGGGAAATGTATAAATACAAACATGGATGAACAAGCATAAAAATGCGTAAATACAAACATGGATTCACCATTAGTGTGCACTGCTTCACATTAAAAGGCAGGATGTGAGAGAAAAGAAAAACAAAGATTAAGAGATTTTGCTTCCTTTTTCCTGTCCTTACCTCTAACAAGGCTCTCAAATAAAATATTTATAATTGGGGAAAATCTAAATAATCACACTCTCAGTCACTATCATGCTGTTTTTTTCATCTACATAGCTACGGGACTGGATGTTTTCTCCTCTACAACACAGGACAAGAGGTACCAAACTCTGCTGTGACATACTTTCAGAGAAAAAGTGATATGAATGCTATGTCTGTGACCATTCTCTATATGTTATTTTTTCTGATTTTGTTTGCTGGTTGTTCATTATTATTGTTGTTATTATTATTATTTATTATTATTATATTTTTTTTTTTTCAATTCAAAAGGTGGTCCTCTCTCAAAATGGTTTGCTGACAACTGTTGCTTACAAGCTGGGTCCTGACCAACCCACAGTCTATGCTTTAGAGGTGATTACAAAACTAATAATAGCTAGAGAACCAGAAATGAGGGGGCATTGGGGCCTCTGGGAAACCGCAAAACTAGAGAAAAAAACCTCCAAAACCGAAAAACCGACTAAAAAAGGCAGCAAAACCGAAAACCGCATGCAAACCTGACAAAACCTCTTCATTTTCACTTTTAAAGGGGTCAAAAAGAAAAAATCAAAAACCGCATCGGGATTTTCGTGAAAACCGAAAACCGAATGCAAAAACACATAAAATCCGCAAACCGCTCTGAACATCAAAACCGAAAAACTGAACCTTTTTGGCCCAAAAACCGAAAAACCGATCCAAAAACAGTCAAAACCGCGAAACCGAGAATCCCAAAGCCCCCCTCAGAAATGTGATGAAGGGGGTAATTAAGATTCTAAAAAACAGTGGTGTTGTATTGGTGGGAGTAATGAAGTAATTTTGATTTTATCAACTGAGTTGATAATATAAATACTATAAAGAGTTTAATTTTTTTTCTCCAATCAAGCCCCATCTGGGGCTTGGATTTTTTCTAATTACATTAAATTTGTTTCATCTTCACATGCTCACTTTGGAGGTTGGTTGGCTGCATCTTGATATGCTTTAATGTGACAACGTGATGCTGTTAGTGAGTTTCCCATGCGCTGCTCAATACTTGGCTGTGTAGCCACGTGATGCAGTTCCAGTCGAGATCCACAAATTGACCCTTGCTCACCATAGAGTCTCCAGTAGCTCAGTGGTTAGAGCATCTGACTAGATCACGGAGGGTCGTGGGTTCAAGTCCCATCTGGGGCTCGGATTTTTTGTAATTACATTTTCTCCATCTGCTCTGACAAAGGGCTAGCACTCTTAACATCAGCTTTGAAACTCTTTATGGTGGCCAACTTACATTATCAACTCAGTTGATAAAACCAAAATTACTTGATGAAGTAGTGTGAGGGTTACTTGGATCAGACTAGTATCTAATCATAAAACAATAGGGTTTAATGCAAGTGGTGTTCTTTTGTTCACAAAGAATTACACCCGACTTGGCTCTTTAAAAATACCCACCTCTTTTCCCCATGTAAATATTGTAAATATTATAAATCATAGAAATGCAATTTTTTTTTATTCATTTTAGGGTTCAGTTGCCATCACTGGTGCAGCTGTAAAGTGGTTGAGAGATAATCTCAATATGATCAGCACGGCATCAGAGATCGGTAAGCTACAAATCTAAAATAGCTTATTCATACTGTTGTACAAACTATACAGTATACCCTGGTCCTTGTAACTTATGTACCTGAGCACCCTTTGGAATATCACCACCTTGAGGGTTGCAGCAGAACCCATGCCTAATTTCATAGGACAATGAAAAATTCAGAAAGTCACATGAATTAATGCACTTTGTTGGACACCTTTCTCTTATACAAATCTACACCCCTCCCCCCCTCCCCTAACCCAACATTAATCCTAACTTGTTATGACTGTCATTATTTAGGGGAGGGGTGCATGGTTGAACAGTTGCTCAGATACTGTTACAGTAGTTAATCCAAGACATTCATATGAAAGTTGTCCAAACCAAGCAGTAAATGAAAGGGGCCACTACTAATAGCCATGAACTTAAATAAATAAAGTTGATAATGTAGGAAGTGGTTGTCCAATCTTCAGAGCTGGTGGCTCATGTTAAAAACACTTGATTCCAGATTGAATTGGAATTTGGAATGTTGGTTTTTGCCAAGGGAGGAAAACCGGAGGACCTAGAGAAAAACCCTCAGAGCAAGGACAATAACCAACCACAAACTCAACCCACATGTGATGCCAGGTCTGGGAATTGAACCCAGGCCATAGTGATGGGAGGTGAGCGCTCTCACCACTGCACCATCCCTGCTCCCTTAACTTACAGCTCTATGCATGACATAGTACATCTTATTTTGTTCCCAGAAACCCTAGCAGCCAGTGTAGAGACTTCAGGTGGTGTGTACTTTGTTCCAGCCTTCTCCGGTCTGTTTGCTCCCTATTGGCAGACAGATGCAAGAGGGTAGGTTAATAAAATAATTGTAGTTGTTTTTTCTATAGTGTAAACCTCAATAGTTTTTGTCACATACTTGTTTCAGGCATACATTATTGTATTTCTATGTTATATGTTTAGCACAAATGGACTCTTATCAACTTTTTCAAATATTATTGAATAGAGAAAAGCAGAAGACATCTGACTAGAGTGAAACAAATTATTCATTTTGACAGAGTATTATTTAATCTTTTAAATCCCTGAGAGTAACTAACATCTGATTTCTCCTTACAATATCACCCCTGAATCATACAATAAGGTCAGGAGAATAAAGGAGATGATCACCAACTTTAAAAGAAGCTCTTGATTGTTAAACAAATTCTCTTTGTAAGCACCTTAGGGAATGCGTAGAGAACAGTATGGAGAATATGCATACTGATGTTAGGTTATAAAGGGTCAATTTGTGATTTTTGGCCTATTGTAACTCACCCAACTCTCCTGTCTTTTCTTTTTTTTTTAACAGTGAGAGTACATGAGGCTCTAATACCCAAACATTTACTCTGCTCCTGATACTGCTCTTTGTTTTGTAGAGTTATCATAGGATTGACCCAGTTTACCAACAAGGCACACTTAGCAAGGGCCACTCTTGAAGCAACGTGCTTCCAGACACGCGAGGTAAGAGATGGAGTTGATGCAGTGACTCTCTAACATAATCTGCTTCCTTGATTGTAACCTAGAAACTGCATTGACAGGTCGTTTATCTTAGCCACACACCTCCTATTGTAACCACAGCCACCCCATCACAACCTCAATCATCTGATCTGACCAACAGCCTAGTTTTAATACATATCACCATCACAGATTACCCACAGTCCACTTTATTTTGGTCACAGTCTTCCCACCTTAGCCACAGTCCTTTATCTAAACAGAATCAACCATTCTATCTTTAAAATTAATAGTTTGTTTTGGCTGCAACCAAGGTTTCTCCTCTTATAGCTATGGGTTGATCATCTTAACCACAGATTTACCAACTTAAAGACAGACACACCCCTAGAAAGGAATTATTTAATGTTCCAAGACTTACAGTGGCCTTTGGTAGGAAGTGGTACAAATCTTTTGAAGAAAAATCCTCTTCTCTATAATTTTTAACCTTTG